AAATGTAATGTAATGTAATGTAACGTAATGTAATGTAATGTATGTATGAAATGTATGTAATGTAATGTATGTAATGTAAGTATGTATGTATGTATGTATGTAATGTAATGTAATGTAATGTAATGGAATGGAATGTAATGTAATGTAATGTAATGTAATGCTGTATGTATGTATGCATGTATGCATGTATGTATGTATGTATGTATGTATGTATGTATGTATGTATGTATGTATGTATGTATGTATGTATGTATGTATGTATGTATGTATGTATGTATGTATGTATGTAATGTATGTATGTTCTGTATGTAGTGTAATGTAATGTAATGTAATGTAATGTAATGTAATGTAATGTAATGTAATGTAATGTAATGTAATGGTATGTATGTATGTATGTATGTAATGTATGTAATGTATGTAATGTATGTATGTATGTATGTATGTATGTATGTATGTATGTATGTATGTATGTATGTATGTATGTATGTATGTATGTATGTATGTATGTATGTATGTATGTATGTAATGGTATGTATGTATGTATGTATGTATGTATGTAATGTAATGTATGTAATGTATGTAATCTAATGTAATGTAATGTAATGTATGTATGTATGTAATGTAATGTAATGTAATGTAATGTAATGTAATGTATGTATGTATGTATGTATGTAATGTATGTATGTATGTATGTATGTATGTATGTATGTATGTATGTATGTATGTATGTATGTGTGTATGTAATGCATGTATGTAATGTATGTATGTATGTATGTATGTATGTATGTATGTATGTATGTATGTATGTATGTATGTATGTATGTATGTATGTATGTATGTAATGTATGTAATGTATGTATGTATGTATGTATGTATGTATGTATGTATGTATGTATGTATGTATGTATGTATGTATGTATGTATGTATGTATGTATGTATGTATGTATGTATGTATGTAATGTATGTATGTATGTATGTATGTATGTAATGTATGTATGTATGTATGTATGTATGTATGTATGTATGTATGTATGTATGTATGTATGTATGTATGTCTGTTCTGATGTATGTAATGTAATGTAATGTAATGTAATGTAATGTATGTATGTATGTATGTAATGTATGTATGTATGTATGTATGTATGTATGTATGTATGTATGTAATGTAATGTATGTATATGTAAATGTATGTAATGTATGTATGTATGTATGTATGTATGTATGTATGTATGTATGTATGTATGTATGTATGTATGTATGTATGTATGTATGTATGTATGTATGTATGTATGTATGTATGTATGTATGTATGTATGTATGTATGTATGTATGTATGTATGTATGTATGTACGTAATGTAATGTAATGTAATGTAATGTAATGTAATGTAATGTATGTATGTTATGTATGTATGTAATGTATGTAATGTATGTATGTATGTAATGTATGTATGTATGTATGTATGTATGTATGTATGTATGTATGTATGTATGTATGTATGTATGTATGTATGTATGTATGTATGTATGTATGTATGTATGTATGTATGTATGTATGTATGTATGTATGTATGTATGTATGTATGTATGTAATGTATGTATGTATGTATGTATGTATGTATGTATGTATGTATGTATGTATGTATGTATGTATGTATGTATGTATGTATGTATGTATGTAATGTATGTAATGTATGTAATGTATGTATGTATGTATGTATGTATGTATGTATGTATGTATGTATGTATGTATGTATGTATGTATGTATGTATGTATGTATGTATGTATGTATGTATGTATGTATGTATGTATGTAATGTATGTATGTATGTATGTATGTATGTATGTATGTATGTATGTATGTATGTATGTATGTATGTATGTATGTAATGTAATGTAATGTAATGTAATGTAATGTAATGTAATGTATGTATGTATGTTTGTATGTATGTATGTATGTAATGTATGTATGTATGTATGTATGCATGGCATGGTATGGTATGGTATGGTATAGTATGGTATGGTATGGTATGTATGTATGTATGTAATGTATGTATGTATGTATGTACGTACGTACGTACGTACGTATGTATGTATGTATGTATGTAATGTATGTATGTGTTTGTGTGTGTGTGTCAGATTGAGAGGTTCTTCTCCGTTCCCAATTGGAAAACAATCTGGAATGAAGCCAGCCATTTGGAGGCCTAGCTGATTTCAACATGCAGCTGTTGTTTCGCCTGCAATCCCAGGTGAGAAACCTGGAAGAGCTAGTGGAGGAGCTGACGGACCTGCAACCCCCCACGGAGGACGGCAGCGGCTGAACTTGTGGTTCATACCTGGCAGCGTGTTGCCTTGGCGAGATGAGAGATGTTTGTTGACTGCGTTGATATGGCCCAGGTGAATGCGGCGCCGTGACCGTGATTAAATGATTGTGTTTTCCGCAACGATAAGCCATGACAATGCTTTGCGGACAAAATGCTTCTGACATGCTGCGTTAGAACCGGGCAAGCTCAAGAATTGTTTTGTTTACAGTGTGCGAAGCAAAGGCCCATGGGCAGTATGCCAAGTAGCTGTTGCGTGCTCCGCTAAGCCAGGAGCTGACCTGCGATATCTGCGAGGTGGATCTTCAAGTGCCCCAGGATCTGGAGACCCATTTGGCATCCCCGCACCACTTCCAGAATTTGCTGCGCAAAGCGCTTCGGATCAAATGTGCCACTTGTTCAAGGTGCGCTAGGTGTGTCATGCGCAAGTTGCTGAAGTTCTGTGGTGCGTTGCCAAAATGCACCTCCATTTGAGGGGGTATTACGGTATTCCTGCTCGGGGTCTCTTTGAAGAACCGGCGAACCGTAGGGTGGAGGAGAGTGTGGGATGGAGCCAGAGTTCAGCGGCCTGCAACCTGAATCGGCCCAAGGGCTGATCCAAAAACTTGATGGCTGCGAGCTCCTTCCCAAAATTGAATCACTAACATATTCACAACGATCAGTGTGGCAGCCAGGCCAAGCTACGGCTGTTTGGAGTATTTACCAAAGTAAATTGTCTGAGTTGATCAACCTGGACACAAACATGTTCCTGGTCAAGTAAGTAGCGCGTTCTTGCCTGGGTTGCAGAGCATGTTCCTGGTCCCGGGTGCCAAGGGCACATTAAGTGCAGTTGACTGAAAGCAATCCTCTCATGTTTTGCTCAATTTGGCTTACCCACACGAGACGTTGTGCCATCTAATTCGGTGTACCTTGAAGACACTCAGCCCAGGTTCCAGCTTTGCTCATTTTGGGCCCCGAACAGGTCAAGGTGATACTTGTTTATTGAGCTTTATGAATCGTCCATTCTTGTGTCACTTGGTGGCTGCGTTTGTGCCTAGGCATGTGTGCATAGCCGATTGCTTGGGGCCCCCTCAATCAGGCTGATTTGCACGCTGAGAGAAGTCAGCTTATTGGCCAGCTGAGGCAGGCTTTGGTCGGCAGCGCTGGGCATGCCGCTCACTTTTGCAGCAGCAATTCAGCTGCAGAGGCCAGCATGTGACGGTGCTCATGGCGTTGTGCAGTCTTACTGGCTTCGACTCTGTTGGAATAAACTTTGATAGACAAAGATGGCAGTTTTACAGACCATCTCGGCCACAACCCTGTCATGCTTCGCTAAAGTTGTTAAAGGTCAAGTCTTGCATGAAGTGTGCTGTGACGGGGCAATTCGGAAAGCATATTTGGGCGTGTGTTTCTTTGAGGGTGCCCTTTTTAGGCTTGGCTTAAAAAGTTCCCCCAGCTTTGAGACAACCCACTTGCTTAGCCTTGCGCTTCTCCATAGGCTCCTCCTTCAGGGTCCAATTCAAACATGTGGGGCAAAGCTGTGGACGAAATCAATCGGAAAGGTGCGAAGATGATCCTGGACCACTGGTCGTTGAATTGGAAGACTGAGCGGCAGTTTGCAGAGGCAGACATTGAAGATGTTTAGCGCTATGTTTAGGCGGAGCGGGCCGCTTCGGAATCGACGCGTGGTATGAAAGCGTCCTGGACATTGGAAAATCGGCCAGAGGTTTGCTGCTTGAGCACCGGAATTGCACTTTGCCCCGCGGATTAGCAACACGTGGCTTCACTGCCAAACGATCTGAGCCTTGTGAGAAGTTGGAGGAACCTTGAAGCACAAAGGCGCCATTCATGTTTGCAGGTTGCTTGGGGGGGGGTTCCCAACCGGCAATTGTTGCCGAGGACTCGCGAGGCCGGGCCAGGTTCTGTTTAGCATTGAACTCTGCGATCGGTCAGGCCGAACGGCCAAATGCCCGCGCTTGCTTGCGTTTTTGTAAATGGGCGTGCATGGCTTGCCGTCGCACTTGGTATGGAGGTGTTCGTGCTTTGCTTATTCAGAACGCAGCTGCAAAATCATGTTTCACAAAGGGGCAATTGCATTCGATGCGCTTCTGGATGTGTCGCGCTGGAGTTCGCTGGCTCCATTGGCTCGCAGGCCTGGAAGCAGGGCGACGGCAAGGGCAAGGCCGGGTTTGGTTCGCGCGCAGTACCATTCGCACCATTCGCACGTGGGACATGAGATTCCAGTGCCTCAAGCTGATTTGTGGACCTTTTGGTTTCCGATATTGGTCAATATTCATGGTCGCTATAGACTACTGGTTTATTTCCAGGGTTTTTGGACACGCAAAGGGGGAACGACGTACGGCATTCACATTTACCTTGAGGAATCAGCTGGGGGTTTGAAGCTGATTTGAGGGAGCCAGCCTGCAGGCAGCATCTGGCACAAAGCACCTCTTGGTGGGCATCACCGGCGAGATGGCGGCAGGGAGCCTGGCATGGACGGAACAGAAGGGAATGGAGGGAGCCTCGAAGGACACTTGTTCAGACACTTGCAAAAACAACACAAAACAAAACGTGCTAGAGCCGTTGATGGAACACGGCAACGCTCAGTCCGGGGGATCTCCGTGAAAGACCAAGCACAAAGATCTCAAGGATTGGCAACAGCGCCGTGTCAGCTTCCAAGGTTCTGTGGAAAAGATGGAAAAGTTTTGACGACCGTTCGGAGTTCGAGTGGTGGAACGTCTCAGCTTCAAAAAGTCCTGCTTCAACAGTTTGGATGCAAGGCTCGTGTTGGCCAGAGTACTAGTTTTGGACCTGTTTGCACGTAGCTTCGTTTTGAAGGGTCCTACATTCTGCCGTCCGTGCTAGCTCTTTGGAGAAATGGGGTTCTCCCTCCCCCCTCATGGGTGTTCCATTTGGGAGAAACCCCCCACCCCCAAATAATTCTGTGCATGCACCATTCGAGAAGAGTATCTTGTTTAAGTCCAAGGCAGTCAGGCATACTGATTTGGCTGCAGCTGATCAAGCGTAGGGAGCCTTCTATGTTGGTGGATGCTCTGGCTACACAAGACGGGAGTTACAGGCAAAAAGTGTCCCATTGAAGACAATTTGGATCCCTAGCAGGAAACACCGATTCTTCCACCGATTCTTCCAGCTTGCGTTGGCCCCGATTTGATTCCTACCGCCCAAGAGAAAGGGATCCCCCTGAGCTGAGGGGGCAAATTGAACTACAGGGCCATTTGATTCATACCACCAGGACTTCTAATTCCAATGACCTGAGCCGAAGCCCCCAGTCCTTGGGGTCTCAGGCCCTGCTGGAAGAAGACACGCGCCTCGCCGGGCGCGTGGAGCAGTTCATCGAGCAGCTGGCGAGTGGCCCAGATTCGGACCTGCGGGAGCTGAACCAAACACGTGGACCGGTGGCATTCTAAGGGGTCTCCGTTCAAAGGGGTCGCCCAAAAGAAACGAAAGAAAGGGCCAACATGGTCAGCTTCTTATCAACTTTCAAGGTGTTCTCGTTCGTATACTGTAACCAGTGTGCCCTAATTTGCGGACGTTTGCGGATCGACCATGGACCGGGACGCTTCAGCTTAATGAGAATGCACCGCACATAGCTTTGCAATAGGCTGAATAGTTGTTGAAACTCAACAAGGGCCTGCGTTACAGATGACTCTTCTTGATTGAATTACCCCAGGTGTACAGACTGCTCTCGTTGAATCAGTAGTAGCCCATAGTGAGTTCTTCAGCTCCCAAATTGTGATGGCATTTGATCATTCGGGTAATTTGGTCTTTTCTGTAGATTTGACTGACAGCTTACTTCTGAAGTCAGCTACGTGACGCGGCGATGTCGACAGAGGATTGCAGAGGGTGCTGGCTTGAAGTCGGTGTTCTGCACGGCATGGCTGAAACCCCAACGACGTTGCGGGTCCATGCGAGTAAACACGCTATGCATTCTACGCTCCGTGGTGTTCAGGCAATGCATCATGATTGCTGAATTGTCTGCCAAATCTCACCAAACATCGGCTTGGATGAGGTTTAGTTTTTGTATGTCTTCCTCACTGGTTTCCCAGAGCAAATGGACTGGGGGCCAGTCGGCGGGGATAGTTGTGTTGATGTGCGCTTCTGGAGTGGGACAGTGGCTACTGCATTTGAGAACCTTCACGAAAGGTTGATACAAAGAATCCGTCGGACGCATGGCATGCGGTATGTGGTTGGAGCCCTCAGAGCTTCTTAGATCTTGCTAGTGCAGATGGCGTCTCATGCATAACCATTTCAGCCAGTTGTGGCCCTCGCAAACTTGTTTCAGGCACTAGCGGAAGATGAAGTCGCTGTAGTCACGCCTGCTTTGCTGATGCCAATTTGGCTCAAGCCTTCAGCGCAACTTGCTCCGAAGCGCTCTTTTGTTCGCACCATTGAGTTATTGACGTTTGCCTGGTCATTCCCTGGCTGGTCCAAATTGGCTTCTGGGAAGCCGTAATTACATCGAGCATTTTGCAGATCGGATTCAATCAAACATGTGTTCTGATTTCTGCCAGGGGCTTCCTCCAAACTGGAGTGTAACGGGGCCTGTTCAATTTTGCGGGTGGCTGACTTGTGGCCTGACTAGCGCGCAACACTTCGCAGCTCCCGCGAAGGGCCGTTTGGTGTCATCTGGACTCGGAGCCATGTCGCAGGCCTCTGAGACAGAAACTGTGCCCGGGGAGCCTTCGGAGCCTTCGGAGCCTCCGGAGCTGCAGTCTCTGAGGCCTGAGCCCAGGTGACCATGGCATGAACCACAGCCACGATTCGGGCTCTGCAGGCAGTGCAGCGCTGGATGTTAGGAGGTTTTGCCCTGTAGGGGTTCTAACCATCGAGCTCGAGCTGTTGTTTGGGATGAGACATCACGAAAGCTTCCCCCAACCGACGTTTCATTTCGGCTGTGCTCGTGGCTTCCAGGGTTTGATGCCAGCTGGAAAGCGGTCTGACTGACCAGTGCAAGATGGATTGACGTAAAAGATGATTGGCAGGTTCGAGTCGGCATCATCAGCAGCAGGCCCACCCGTGCAGCCGTTGGGCAGCACGAGGCCTGCTTGCTGAAAAGCTTGCCAAAATGAGTTGTCAGCCGTTTCGGTAGTCAGTAGGCCCTTTCATCTACAGCGGTTGCACACACCAATAGCAAGCTACAGCCATGCCCGCTGATGGTCCCTGCTTCTGGTAATTGTTTGTGTTCCAAGTGAAGCTGCGCGGCGCGGGCCGTCGACATTGCTCTTGACATATGCTTTCCGAATGTGTTTTGAAGATTATAGCCAACATGTGCAATACTCGTCAAAACCACGGAAGAAAACCCATTGAATACCACCTCCAGTTTGTGTTTTGCTTGTACTGCTGCCACTGTGACAATGCTGTCATACTGTGACGCTGCCATTGCTACGACCACTTCCAGAAGCACCCTGGCTTATCGATTCGACCTGCATGTATGCTAAATCTTTGAGTTAGGAGTTAGGAGTTGCTAGCTATGTTGACGTGCTGAGGTTGTGAGTTGGCGTTGCTAGCCCAGGACCTCTCAAATGACCAAGTGTTGCAGCTGGCTGCAGTGCCAAGTTATTCAGCAACCACGGGAGTGAACAATGGGGCAAGTTGAAAGTAAGCTGAAGAGAACCCATTTCGGACGCTGCGACACACACACACGCACATATGGACTCACGTAGCGGGTATAAAGAGTAAAGCACTTGTCTGCCGCAGCCACGTCAGTTTAAGGTGTGGCGTAGTTGGATGGGGGAGCAGCCGTGCCCACTGTGTGAAGGTCGGTACGGGACCTTCCGGTGGTGCACGGTGTGTAGCTCCCTGGAACAGCTCCGTTTCGCTGTCCTCCGTGGGTTTGAGCGGGAGGACAGCGAGGAGCTTGGGAGGAGAATCAGGGATTTCTCCTCGACCCTCCTGTCTTGGGGCGCTCGGCTCCAGAGGCAGCGGGAGGGTCGCACTTTCGATCAGGTCAAAGCCGGTGGTGCTGGACCTTCTGTGCCCGCTGGGCTAGGGACTCTTAGGCCGGCTGAGCCCGCTGGCCCCCCTCCGGCAGGAGGGGATCTGGAGGGGACGCACTCGGCGTCCTCTCCTGCTACCACCTCCAAGTCCGCTCCGGAGGTGCAAAGAGTTTCCCGCACGCCAGAAAGGCGGAGGAGAAAAGAGAGCAAGAGGAGCCGCAGCTCCAGGAGGAGGAAAAGCCCGGAAAGGGCTAGGCATCGCAGGAGAGAGGCTTCTGCGTCACCTGTGCGAGCGCCCGTGCCTCCCAGGGATCCCCCTCCCCCTGCTCCTAGGCCCCGTTCCCCTGCGGAATTGCCTGAAGAGGTTCCGGAGTTGGGTGCCAGGAGGAGGGAGGCGAACGAGGTATCCCTCACTGAGTCAGAGGGTGAGGATAGCCCTTGAAGTGGCTGCATCTCCTGTTCCTGAGGAGTCGGGAGTTGGCCGTGATTGGGTTGGGCCCATTCCGGCAGGTAGGAGGCCCCGGGCAGTAGCCCCTTGGAAAGGGGGAAAGAACAAAGGCAAAAAGAAGCGCGAGAGGCAGGTAATGCCTCCTAAAAATGTGAGGAGGCCCGCAGCAGGTTTGCCGCCGGTGAGGCGACCTGCTGGTTCTGAGGAGACCGGCTGCTGCTGTGATAGAGAATGGGAGAACCCTCCTAGGCGCCGTCGCCGTGTGGGAGGAGGAGAAGAACTGGTGCTGGCCGAGCTCGATATGGTCGGCCTGGGGAAGTTGCAGAGGATCTGGCTGGATCCATGCGTTTACTGGATGGAAGAAACTTCTGTTGTGGGAGTAGTCAAGGGTGCCCGCATTGAGGGGTCCAGTGCTTATTTGGACCTCTTGGTGGAGGGGACCCGATCCGGAAGACTCCTGGAGTATGTCTCAGGCACTCCCGAGGGGCGCATTAGGCTGCATGTGTCGCCGGAGTGCGAGCAAGAGCTTTGCGAGGATGGCCTGGTACATGGTCGTGTGTTTCGCGAAGTTCCAGGTGTGCCCACTGAGGCGTGGATGTCGAATGCGTGCAGGGTGGAGCCCGACGAGAATCGTGCTCTTCGTGAAGAAGCAGAGAAGCTAAGAAATGCAGGAGCGGCGGGAGCTCATGCTCCTGATGAGAACTCCTATGAGCCCGAGGCGGGGGACTTGGAGGCGGATCAGAAGAAAAGGAAGGAGGCGAAGGAGAAGAGAGGAAAGAAAAAGAAGAAGAGGGTTGTGCTTGAAGGTAAGAAGGCGTTGAAAGATGTGGTGGGGTCCACGGGATTGGACCCGGACCCTGATATGAGGAAAATCTTGTTGAAGCGAGCATCCCGGGCAGTAAGGAAGAAGAGGAAGAGGTCAGATGATAGCTCGGGCAGGGCCTCATCGTCCTCGAAGTCTGAAGAGGAGCCTGAGGAGCTGTTCGGATGCAGCACGAGGCCCGAAGAGGTGGGCCGCCGCTTCCCAGGCGTGTTGGCGGCTGAAGGAATCAGGGAGATGCGAGCCAGCCTCCTGAAGAACACGGGGCAGTTGTGGGATTTGGAGGATGGCCCACTTCCTCCTCTGAGCACCATGTACTTCAGGCAGACCTTAATGTCGAAGATGGCACCTCCGATGGCTCGGGAGACCCACACCCTGTGCTACGGGTTGGATCTCCTGTTGCAAGGCCGGGCTGCAGAGCTAGGCGACCTTTTGGTGCAAAGGATCAAGAGCCTGGAAGGCGTTGCTGCTGGTCTTCACTATTCGGTGATGCAGAAGATGGAGCTCCTGCCCATGGATGCATCCCGTGTGGCGCGCTATACCGAGGTGCATGATGCGGCTAGGGTAGCACGTGATGAGGCCCGAGCTTTGTCTGCTGGCTCCCGGGCACAAGGAAGAGGAGGTTCAGATTCCGGTTGGGTGCCGTATGGGCCGCGAGGCAGAGATGAGAAAGGTGGTGGAAAACGAAAAGGTGGGAAGGATAAGGGTCGTGCAAAAGATTGGCCCAGGAAGAAGGAGGAGAAGAAGTGATGAAGAGGAGGCATTCGGGAGAGGGCTCCGCGTTGGAGATCTCTCCTGGGGGAGCCGGGGAGGCGGTCGACCGTGAAGGTCCCCCTCCTGGGCGCCCTCTGGCCGTGCAAGAGCGGCTGAACGCTATCAAGCTGAGGCTCCCGGGGTTAACCTTAGGCGAGGCTGGTGATGCTTGGTGGATTTGCTAGATCTTTTCCATGTTGGAATGTTGCACTGCAAGTCCCAGCCCATGGAAGGGAAATCCATATTTCCTCTTCCCCTAGCAATCCCTTCCGAGCTTTCACCCGCCAAACATGCGCTGCTGTCCGCAGTGTGCCGGAGTCTCAACTCCCTTGCGGGATGCACAGACCCGCAAGGCCGGTCATCGCACGCTGGACGCATGGCCGTGAAACAACTCGCGGCGGCCGTTGAGGTTTGTGAGAGTTGGGTTGAGGTTTTTCAAGATGTGAACTTTTCGGACTTCCTGAGGGTCAAAGGCATTGACTACAAGGGGGATGAGGTGAAACTGGCTGTCAACCTTAGTTGTGCGAGGTGGTGCCTGTGGATGAGCTGTTTCACATTCAAGGTCAACCCCTCCTGAATGGCATGTTCGGAGTTGGAAAAGGCGAGTTTGTGAACGGGAAGGAGACACTCCGGTTGATCATGAACTTGATCCCTTTGAATAGAATCTGCCGAAGTGTTTCCGGTGACGTTGGTACGTTGCCCCAAATTTCGGGGATGTCCGCCTGCGTGTTGGAGGGGTCCGAAGTGGCCCTCCTGTCGTCTGAGGACATCAGATGCTTTTTCTATCTTTTCCAGGTTCCCCCCGCGTGGAAAAGATTCCTGGGGTTCAACAAGGCTGTCCCAGAGGACCTCGTTCCCTCCTCCCTCACTGGGAGGAAGTGCGTTCTTGCCGCCAAGGTCCTCCCTATGGGGTTCCTTAACAGTGTTAGCATCGCCCAGCATGTGCACCGTAACGTGATTAGGAGCGTGGACCCCCTCCTTTTGACGGGAGATCAAGAGATCCGCAAAGACAAGAGTTTCCCTGCGAGCTCCCGCCTTTTTAGGATCTACCTACAACTTCGATTTCATCCAGAAAGTGGACTCCCAGTTGGCCTTCGGCTGGAGGGGAGGGAGAGCCCGGAACAGGAGGCTGTCAGGAAGGCCTACGAGTCGGCCTGTCTGCCTCGGCATCCCAAGAAAAGTGTGGTTAGTGCTGAAAGGGCAGAGGTGCAGGGCGCTGTCGTCAGAGGCAAAGAAGGAGTGGCTTATCCCCGCCCGGAGAAAGTACTTAAGTACATGGGTCTAGCGGTGGAGCTGATTGTGTGGGGCCGAGCCGGCCTCAAGCATCTGCAAGTGGTCGCAGGAGGGCTGGTGCACATTGCTATGTTCAGGCGCCCGCTGTTTTGTGCCCTCAATTGCGTGTGGCGTCACATTGAGGTTCTGAAGCAGGGAGGTGGCAAGCCTCAGCTTCTACCTCCTGCCGTGGTGGCCGAGCTGGTGCGTTTCTTGTGTTTGGTCCCTCTGGCCCAACTGGACTTCCGAGGGGAGTTGGGGGGAGATGTCACTGCAAGTGATGCGTCCACCACTGGTGGGGGTATCTGCGTCACGGAAGGCCTCACGAGTTATGGGGTTCATGCCTCCCAGGCCAGTATCCGGGGGGAATGGCCTGAACCCCATGATATGTGTCAGGTGTTGACTGTAGGCCTTTTTGATGGCCTTGGAGCTCTTCGCTTGGCTTGTGATGCGCTTGGCTTGCCTATGTGTGGGCACATTTCCGTTGAATCACATGCCCCGGCCCGCAGGGTTGTCGAAAGTTTCTTCCCAGGTACCGTGATGTGGGATGATGTCCGCACTGTAACTGAAGAAGTCGTTCTGCAGTGGTCAACCCAGTTCTCCTCGGCAGGAGTAGTGCTCATAGGAGCCGGACCCCCTTGCCAGGGGGTCTCCAAGCTGAACGCGGACAAGAAGGGTGCTTTGAAAGATGCACGAAGCTGCCTCTTTGCAGAGGTGCCCCGGATTACCGCGCTGATCCGCCGATGTTTCCCCTGGTGCCAGGTGAAGTTCCTCATGGAAAGTGTTGCATCCATGGACGACTGTGACCGG